ACACGCATATATATATATATCTATATACATACATACATACACACATATAGATATTTATATACATTCTATGAATAAACTTGTTATATCGTTGACTCGAATTTTGGGGTTAATGCCAAAATTTCAACACCCTCGATGGGATAGCACATGCGACTAGGCCACTGACTCACCGTAACCATGTACTCAGTGATGGAAGAGGCTAGCTGCCATGGCAACGCAAGCAGCAAACGGCTTGCATAGAGATCGATCGGATGACCGAGAAGATAGTTAGGAAGAACCCAGGCACCTGCAAACACGAGTAGAGAATAGAATACAAATCGGAAGTGCTATACAATCTATATATATATATATATATATATATATATTCTTGTACGTAGATCTATATATATATATATATATATTTATTCATGTTCGTATATTTACAGATTTATATATATATATATATGTGCGTTTATAGTTGTGAATAATCGCATGGTATACATATTTGGGCTCGGATACAATGGTGATACGAGTATCACACAGATTGTAAATAAATCGACACATATGGTTTGTGCATGCACTATAAGATAGTTGGATGCGAATAAGGGGCTGTCTCTCACCCTACATGTACCTCATGTGTCATGTGTCGAATAAGCAAGGGCAGTCCTAACACAGCGGTCCTCCCGTGTACAGCAGCTACATCACGTACAAGACAGTGCGTATGCATGGTTGAAAACAAGGGTGTGTACACTTCACATGTCACAAACAAATAGACACAGGTGAATTCAGGTGAACGTACTATAGACCCATGTGAATTCAGGTAAACGTACCATAGACACATGTGCATTCAAGTCAACGTATTATAGACACATGTGAATCCAGGTATACGTACTATAGACGTATGTGGATTCAGGTAAACGTACTATAGGCACATGTGAATTCAGGTAAACGTACATTCAGGTAACCGTACTATAGACACATGTGAATTCAGGTAAACGAACCATAGACACATGTGAATTCAGATAAACGTACCATAGACACATGTGGATTCAGGTAAACGTACTATAGACGTATGTGGATTCAGGTAAACGTACTATAGACAGATGTGAATTCAGGTAAACGTACTA